GCGACTTCCTTCCACACGGGCTCGATGTGGATGCAGCTGAAACACCAGTCCGAGGTGATTTTAATGAGGTAAGGTTTCTTGAAGCTGTCTGGCACGATTTCGTTGACGTAGTGGGAAAAGTGGAGCAAATACTTCTCGTCGGAGGCGTCGCGCCTCTCCGAATGGAAGGGGAAGTGGAAGAAGGACTCGTCAAAACAGAAGCCTTCGTGGAAGTGGTGGAACTGGCGATGCTGGTGCTGAGAGTAGCCCTGGCTTTCCCCGGCATCTCCGTAGCGATCAAAATTTGCCCTCTTTTCCTCGTTGGAGAGAATCTGGGAAGCAGATGACACAAGAGCAGTCACCTGAAGCCGGGAGGGCGAACCGCCCTGACCGCAATCCCCTAGCAAACAAGTGCAGCTGCCTAAGGACGGGCTGCGAGGGAGTGTGCAGCCTTTGCCACACGTCAGAGGGACAAATCCTCCGGGAAGGGGAACTATTGCGTCACTTCCAGGCTCGCTGTGGGAGATAAGGGTGTAAAAAGCCAAAGCCCCAACAACAGGAGCCTGGAGAACAGGCGTGCTGTACCCGTTTGTGGCACCAGTGGCTCCTCGAGGTCACGCCACGCTGCCTGAGCACCAACGCTCTTTTCTGGAGCGGCTTTTGCCGGCGTCTGCTTGAACACTGAGCGTTGTCTCAGCGCATCGGTGAGCACCGAAAGCTTTACCGAGCAGCCAGAGGCACCCCCCGGGAAACTGCGGTTTTTGTCTGGGAGATGAGGGTTTGCTTTTACTTCCGCAGGCTCGGCTCCCCCCCCGTGGGGGGGGCGGGGGCGACGCCGCCGCGGCCAATTTCCAGAGCCATGCAGAAGCGATGTGCAAGTAACTACTTAGGCAAAGCATAATTTGAAGCGACTGAAGCCCTGTGGTGATTAGCATTGGCGATGTCACCCCCAAAATGCTTATATGTACGTGTGACACCAACAAGACAGCTGCCTGGGGCTCAGCAAATGCCCGCTCCTCCCTCGTTGGAGGCTTTTTGCCACGAACAGGGCAGACCCGTAGCAAAATACTGGCAACAGAGGCCGTGCTGGTGTCGTCCAGCGGCTCTCTGCCGAGACGGCAGAGGCAACTTCTCTGGTCAGCGGTGTCTGCCTCGCAGGGTCGAGCCCCTTTCCCGCGCAGACATATGTGGAAAAAGCATGAAGCCCCCTGTGGAAAAAATAAGGTCGCTGAGCTTGTAACGACAGTGGGAGCTTAGCGAGAAGAGCGTGTTACCTCGTAGGCCTTGCTGATCTGGATGAATTTGTCTTCGGCTCCTGGGTCCTTGTTTTTGTCGGGGTGCCTACGAGGCAGAAGCAGAGGAAAAGGGGGTCAGCGGTTCCCGGGGTGCATGGGGAGCTGTCAGCCAGAGGCGAGAGGGTCGGGGACAGTCAGGGTGTGCCAGGCCGCGATCAGATGTTACACCGGGCACGTGCTCTCCCCACCCCCAGTCGCAGCGCTGGGATGCAGACCCGTCCCTCTCTCTGATCTGTCGCCAGCAGCCCAAGCCTGGGAGGAGGGAGCGTGTACCCTGCCTGCCCGCTACAGCCCTGCGTCCCTCGGCTCGTGCCCTACGTCTGTACCGCGTTCTCTGTGTCGAGTACCGCCTGTCACTGCCCTTGGTGATGGCTGGGGCAAAACCCCGCCGGCTCTAAAAGCTCTTGGGTGAGGCTGTTTTTCGAGCCGATGCCTCAGCACTTGCCCCCAAAGCGAGGGGCGTGACGTTTGTGGGTCTGGCACGTTCCCCTTCCGTGGCATGGGGGGTTGAGTCACCCCTGGACAGCGATGTAGCCAGCTGTGCCCCAGGACGCTGCTGTGGTGAAGGCTCCCGGTT